GGCGCACTCGAGCGGTATTTAAAGCGATTCCCTCGCGAGCGTAGGCAACCATATTTGTTTGTCGCCTTTCGTTACAGACCCGAAATGCCTGCCGCCTTCGGTGCGCGCAGGCTCTTAATATGCTACAGACGAAACAAAATCAACTGGCCGTTCGAGGCCACCGAGGGATACGCCATCATCGAGCAGAGACACAACCTGATGCGTCGTAAAAGTAGGTGTCTCATCTGGCGTGTTGATTTTGTCTCGTCGAGGGGCGACGGAAAGGTACACTCCTGGACGAAAAGACAATCTGCGTGCGGTATCGTCGAGTTCTCAAGCATGCTACGAGTTATACAAATACTTTTGGTCCACGAGTGTATCGCAGAATACATCCCCGAGCGTTTCGCATCGATCGTTCGAATCAAATTTTGCCCATCTCTGGCGTCTCTCAGCTCGATACGCGAGATCGAGCAACGACGCGTTCGAAACTAAAAGATCTTGGCTTGTTTCGCAGACTCCACGTACTATTATTGCAACGGGGATACGCTGGCGTCTTCCCACAACAATTCGCAGCAGGGCGGCGGATGCAACAACGGTGGCCCAGAGAACAGCCCGGACGTGGCCAGTCGGTCGCCTTTAGCGGCTACCAGGGCGAGTAGCGGTGCGAGCGCGGCTTCGCCGACCGGAAGCGCGTGTACCAAGACGGAGCACTCTTCCACGCCGACGGATCTTTATCTGGCCTGATCGGTCTGTGGTCCTGGTCGACAACTCCGGGCGGAATGTTTCCCTGAACCGAGGGGAACGGCAACCAATGACGATGGACGCCATATCACGAAGAACCACGCTGAAATTAAGCAATGATCTCTTTATCGGCTCGAGAACGAACAAACACCGATCGTAACGCAGCAAGAAACGTGGATAATTCCCATTGAAAGCGCGAAGAACGAGACGAACTGGCCAGACACCGTTCGAATTCGATGATCGGCGTGCTGTAAAGCGTCGAACGTGGAAAATTCGCGTCGATCGTCGATGCGACAGTTCCGAGAGAGATATAGACTTCGATATCGTACTCGATCGCAAACTTCAAAGTCGTTGACGCCGAGGCATCGAGTTCGCGATCGTTATCGGGGATCGCGGTTAGAAATCGTCGCCAGCGGGGAATACCTGCATCGGTGGTTTCCTTCTCGTCCGAAAAGACTGTAAACTTCGCCGATATCGATCGTTTCGTTCGCGACTTTAACCCTTTGACGGTAGAAGCGTCGACCGTCGAAGGGTTAAACGAACGTTAGCGACTCCGACGAGTGTCTGGATCAGGATTCCCGCGGCCCTTGCCGACAGTGTCGGTACTCTTGTAGAGTGCGCGTAACCGTAGGTAGTTTAATTTAACGATCCTCAGTTAGCATAATTTCTACATGATGCCCGCGATCGGTCGTCCACTGAAATGTGGCCGCGTATTTCCCGCGTGTTTTCCGTGAAACGAAATCGCGAGCCACGGGAATGCGTACAGACACATTTGCCACCGACGCCGCGTTAGAACGTGTACATATATAAAGTGAAAAAAAAAAAATATATATATATATATATAAATATACATATACCCGTGTAAACAGACAGCATCGACTGCCCAGAAAAGGCAAGTTCTTTCTCCTAATAAGCACGACGACCCTCTCCCTATCCTTCCGACACCCCATCTCCCACCAAGTGACGTATAGTATACATATTAGATATAGCCGATAAGTTTATTGAGATTTTTAAATCAGGAATCGACGTAACGATCGCTACTGTTAAGGATATTATATATATTTTTTGTAGAAACCAAAGACCACAAACGGGATTGCCGAATGAAAATTGCGTGCGTCGCGTAGCTACGACGGAGACAGAGTTTTACGACGACTCAGCGCGACGTTTCAAGAAGAGGACACCGAAACGCGTATGCGGATCGAAAAGTGAATTAAACAGGGTTACAGTCCGAATACGCCCGGTAGGTTACAGTGAAACCGTTCTTGCTGGAGGTTCAACCCTTTGACCACCAGGACGAACTACTTCAGGGTAACGTACTCGATTTATCGGATCGTAGTCCCGTCTGGTTCGTCCTCCGATCCACGTGAGCGTTCCAGAGTCCTCCCTCGTTAGATGTAAATAAATAAACGCGGGTTTGCGAGCGACGCGTGCAGGGGGGCAACGAGCGAATGCATATCGAGAATCGGGAAAGCGTGAAAGGCGAAAACGAAATCGAGCGATGCACGCGAGTCGCCGGCGATCGATCCGCGCCGAGGGTAATGGCGCGAGCACGGCGTAAAAAGGAGTTACCTTCGGTGGGAGCTGCGTGCGTCCGCCGATCGCAAATCGTCCGTGGGCCATTGCGGGCGCGTAACGATCGTTGTAACTGCGGCATCGATTTCACGAACAGGAGCGAGCGGACTCTTCCTCGACGGTCGCTCGTGCTCGCGTTCCGTCCAACGGCTTCGCCACTCTCGCGCCGCGGAAGTCGAGTCGCTTCCGGCTTCGCGTCGTGCGGAACGCTCGAAAAAGGTAAAAAAAAAAAAAAAAAAAATAAGAAATATCGCGAAACCGTAATTAACGACTGGCCGCGGGTAACATAATGAGAAGTTACGTGCTCGCAAACTCTCGGTGATTAACGGGCAAAAATGATAATTTGTAACCTTAATAAGGAAATTAACGCGCGAGCGTCCGGAACGTTTGATTTCCCGTGGACGACATACGATGCGCTCGCGCTACCAATCGAGATGCTAGTCTCGAACGTGTACCGTATTTTATTCGAGGTTCCCGCGGTTAATGTCAATCGAGATCGTTTATTTATCGATCCGTTTCTCGTTTTAATTTAATATTTATTCGATAGTAACGAAATTCTGTGCCCGCGCGGTATACAAATGTAAGTAGTGCAATGAAAACGTCGAAACGGCTATGTTAATTAACGATTTTCGTAATCATCGCGATAATGTAGAAACGGCCGCCTCGCGCGCAGAGGATTATCAACGTATCGCGTCTCGCTTGAGAAATTCACCGTGAAATGGGTTTCCTACCACGATTCGCTCGCATCACAGTTATCTCATAATTAACGAATTATTTTCGAGCGCACCTCGCGTGAACGATAAAAGCCCGATAACGCGAAACTTCTCCCAGTTTTATTTCTCCCGCATTGTTTTAATCGCATTTCATTCCGATGGAATTCATTCAGAACGTTTAATAGACGATTCGCGCGGTCTTTCACCTTCGAGTTTTGTACTTTAGTTGCAGGGAGTACCGATAAGTATTTCAAACGAAAGTTAACCCCTGAACGATTTCAAGGGCGGAGAATGATTTGATGCGAGCAGTTGCAGAGGAAATACGGCGCGGTCGATCCGAAGCGTGCTCTTAATGAATCTTCGAATTTTCCTTTCCACGCAGTAACCGGTCGCTTCGAGCAGTCTACCATCGTTCCGCGTATAGGAGAATCAGTATCTCGATCCGTTCTCATCGTCGCGCAATCGATATTCAAGAATTGTATAGTTGCGAGTCGTAAAACCGCGGGCAGAAAGAACGGGGGCATGGAAAGCGACGGGAGGGAGAGGAAGACAGAGAGAAGGAATCCACGATCTCTGGAAATTTCGTGGCGATTCGAGCGTTGACGATTTTTCCTCGAGCTTGGGGAAGCGTCTCTCTTGGCTCTTCTCGTTTCGCGTCTGGCGTTCAAAAATGTTTTATCTGGGAAATATACATACGTCGGGATTGTAATTGACTATTGCGTACTTCACATTGTTACTCTATTACTATTACCACAACGACGATGTTTATTAACGATTATTATTATTCTATTTGCTATTATCGCTACTTTTCATTATTGTCACGATTATTATTATTATTATAATTATTATTCTATTATCATTATTATTATTATTATTATTATATTATTATTATTTAATGCCTTTATTATTTATTAATTGTAACGACGACCTATGTGTAATAAGTTTTGCCAAAGAAACCCACCGAAAGAGCAATATCGCGTGAATGTTTTCTCCGTGCCTCCATAAGATGGAGGCGGATTTTAAAACGTAAGCGAGAAAGTTAGGGAAAGCACGTCGACGACGACGTAGCCGCGAACGAAAATTAGCGTCAACGCGAGAGGAAGCGCTTTACGCGCAGCATTCAAACGAAGGGGATCTGCTCCCCGCGACAATTGCGAGAAACGTGCGAAATCAGAGACTTCGGCTTGGATGCTGCGCCCCGCGAACATTTTTCTTTTCATCGAAACAATAAACGAACGGTTCTGTCTATCTTTTTTAATTTTTATTTCGTGTTCCGTAACCCCGTGTGATATTCTTGTTCCGTGCGCCGCTCTTGCCGAGTCTCGCTGTTGATACTTGCAAACAAAACTCTGTACATCCTTTTTAAATAAATATGAGGTTTATATGAAACTCGTCCCACAATTCACTTACTCACATTTTTCCAGGATAAAGGAAACGCACTGATTCCCTCTAAGCACGATTCACGGGGCGTTTAACCCTCTTTCCCTACGATTCACATTTCATGTTCCACACGTGGACGAGTGGAAGGACAGACTTTTCGTTACAACAGAATAGAATTGATTATCGAAGACCCGCGTCGCGTACAAGTAATGTAGATTCGCGTCGAAATCTTAAATAAAGAATCGTTATTGTCAAAGTAATCGAAAAACGAAATATTGTCTAACGGTACTATAGGTTGAAAATAAAGTATGCCACAATCGATGTATCGATGTATTTCATTTCCTGTCTATAGGATGCGCGTTTACAATGTGTCTTATTTTAAACTAGAAACGTCGGACTATGTTATAAGGAGTAGAAATTTAAAAATCCCGCTTAGAATCGATCGCGGGGAAAATAAAGTGCGCCATCTACCATGCAACACGTGAACCCAGAGGATATTTTCCGTCGTACCATCGGTAGAATACGCTCGAAAGATAACCTTTGGTCGCATGATCGACGAATAGCAATGCAGATTCCTTCCTTACGCGTTGATGATAGGGCGCTCGAACAGTTCAATTTCTTCTCATCGAGCATTTATTTCACTCTTGTAAATAGTTGCAATAGGCGGTATACAATCTTGTAAAAAATTATTTATCTTAAGTATTTCGTACCGTCGAACTTGCGAACGTTTTGTACAAAAGGAATTGTACTTCGTGTATTGATGCTTAGATGATCTGTTAATAGTTACATTAAATATAGGTTCTACGGCATAGGTAACAGGACCTTATTAAAAGTAATTGTATATCTTGACTTTTCACTTTTTGTAAACGTAACTCTCGGCACCTCCTCGTCCAAAACCTGCAACGCAAGAAATGTTTCAATAACATAATTCACTTCAACTAACAAATTTTTACACCTTTTCACGTTTCAGTTACTCGTAAAGCTGTTACACAAAGCACGCTTTCAAGACAGAAAAAGAAAAGGTTTGGTAGAGATAGGACTGAACGAAGACGACCAAGTTGTTCCTTACCTCCAGGACCAAAGAGGGTGGAGTAGCACGGATGATTGCAGTACGGTTTGCCCTCGTGCTCCGCATGGCTGCCCGGCGTCAAAGTTTTGTTGCACTTTTCGCAACGCAAACAGGCGCCGTGCCAGTCCTTCCCCAAAGAGGTCTTCCTCTCGGCTGCGACAAACAAAGAGATCCACGCGTGAGTCGTCCGCGCACTTTCGGTTCGTTTCGTTCTCCCGTGTCGCAAAAATCGATTCGCCGTTTGTTCTCGATACCTCCAATCGAGCCATACGATTCACCGAGTGAAATGGAAACGAGGAAATCGTTACGTTCGATCGGACCTATTCCCGTGGCCTCGATCTACCCCGGTAAAGCCGTACGTGGCTGCGTCCCACATAAAGAAGCCCGAAAGAAATTTGATCAACTCCACATTATACGGAACGCGAACTGTTCGATAACGATCGTTTATTAATATCAAGCCTTCGTGTTTCGACGTCGAAAAGACTGAAAACGGTCGGACGACATCGACGAGACCGTATCGATCGCGACAGACAATCGCGACACGCTCGCTGACTTCGTTTGGATATCTTCTCCCTTTCTCGTCGGCGAGCCAAGCAAAATGCAGAAACATCCCCATCCGGGACTCGTCGCGTGATCATTGCCGCGCCGGAGACGACGAGAACGAGAACAACGACACCGACTCCTCCGTCGCCTCCTCCATTAGCAATTTCGTAATTATAAAATTGAATGGTTGATTCCCTGTGGACGGGATCCGCGGCTCTTATTCATCGCAGGCGCGAACGCGAAACACCCCGTGGACCGTTAGCGAGACCACGTCGACAAAAAGCGAACCGACGTCTCTTTAGAAAACATATCGCGACGCCGCACCCGGCCCGTTAAGAATTCCCACGCGTAGTCGTCGCGGGCCATAGGAATTTCGCGAATAATCGCGACACGCGTCGGAGAAGCTCGCTCGCTGATACCTTTTGTTTGGTCGGTTGATTAACCGAAAACCATCTCGATTCGAGAGAAACGGAATGATTACAGTCAGCGACAGAAAGAAAGCACGCCTGCGATATCAATTTCGTCGTTTCGTGGTATCTATAGGGGTGTGCTATGAATCTCGATGCGGGTGAATCCTGAAGGGAGGGAAACTAAGAGGCTCTCCTGCGACCAAGAGTGTATATCCTTCGATGGTGTTTGAGTCTTCAACGAAAGGAAACTCGTCGAACGAGACATCCAGTTAGCAAGGGTAGCGCGAACCGCGGACTCGCGATTTCCTATTCGGCGTCTATGCACGTCGCGCACGCCTGGCCGGAAAGTCGACAAAAGGCCGCGACGAAATCAGAGGAGCACGAGTGTACCTTTTTTTTCTTCGGTGCGTCGCGGTGAGTCATGCCATTACGGCATATCAAACCTCGCGGGGAAGACAAAAAAGGCACGGTCGACCGGTGGCGGGCCGGTGGTTGGCATTCAAACGTTCCTCCGCGTCTAAGAAGGAGCACAAAGGACGCTGGTGCCAGCGAGGGGAATTGGAAAATGACGAGGAGCGGAGAGACACAAGGGGTCTAAAGGGGTCGACAGCAGCCGCGGGGAGGAGCGGAGGGGCTGATGCGCGCTCGGGTCGAAGAGAGAGAGAAATAGTGGAAACGTAGCCGCGAAATAAGCAAGAACCGAGGGAAAAAGTAAGAGAGGCGAAAGAGGGAACGGGAACGTAGAATGGAGCCGGGAAGGAAAGAGAGGGTGGAGGCAGGAAGGGTACGCATAAAGGGCCATTAGTTAATTAACTCCTAATTATCTGGCGGCGGAGAAGCGAGTGCATAATCGTCAAGCATCGGTGCTGTGCAGTGGTAGCGCGAAAAGGCAGACAGCGGTGTGCACGGATCGTTGCGCTCGGGCGCCAAACAATCGGCGGCTGCTGATTGCATAGGCTTGGAACACCATCCCCTGGTCTTTCCTTGCTTCCCTTTTCCGCCTTCTTTTTCCTTTATTTCATTGGTAGACCGTTTTCCACCCCCGCCGCCCACTCTTCCTCTCCTCTTCGCAACCGTCGATCCGCCTGCCACCCATCCAGCCGCAAAAGGCCCCTGAAAACCTCCTCGTCGTGGGCTCGCTACCATCGGCATCCTAACCGTGGAGGCTCGCGAAGGTCCGGAGAGGTCGAGGTCCAGGGAACGAGGAGACGGCTGTTCATTCTCTCTTCGAGCCTCCTCATTCTTCTCCCGCGCCTTCGTTCGCCACCGCGACCCGGCTATTCTTCCGCAAACCTGTTTCCACTCTGTTCTTCTTATTATTACCCCTATGTCCCCTTCTCTTCTACGGCTCCTTGCTGCCGCTGGCGCTGTCCCTGTCGCTGGACACTTTATCGTTGTTGCTTTCGACGCAACGCGACCCGGTACGGTATCCTCGACTCCGTTTCGGCCTCTCGTTTCCTCTTTCGTGCCTCGAAGAACGGACATTCGGCGAAACGACCGAATCGGCCGTTTCATCGGTTGCGCGACTCGTTAGGAACGTCGCCTTTTCGCTGGAACGTGGGAGATCGAGGACCGATTTTCCGCGCGGAAAGGCGATTCCGTTCGTGAATCGCTTCGCACGCGTATCGGAAAATGGTCAGAGATATCGTTGAGACAGTGAAGCGTTTGAAACTCGAAGACCCACGCGTAGATGCATCGAACGCGATAACGTTGATACGCCGACGATATTCGTTCGCTCGTTAAACATCGTACCAACGTGTCCAACTCGATGGAAAATTCTACGGAAGAATTCGTCGGTAGAACCTCGTCGGCGTGCAACGTCTACCTTTCGTCGTAATTTCTTTCTCATTCGAAAGAAATCGCCGATCCATGAGATCGAAGAAGAACTCGAGATTTCTCTTGTTTCGCCGGAAAAAATGCAGAACCGTCCAAGATCAATCGCTCGTCGTCCGAAAGGAGTAGAACCTCCTTTTTGGTCGGGTCTCGTCGAGCATTTGCAACAATTTACGCGGATAATACCAAACGAAGTACGAGGCTTCTTCGTCGGATGCTAAGAAATCATTTAAGCGTGGTTTGTTTCGAAGCTTTCGGTCTTCGTGTTCTCAAAGGGTCGGGGATCTCTTGCGACCGGCTCGAAAAGCTTCCTCCAGCTTTGCGGCGAACATTGCCGTGGAATACTCGCTCGAAAACAAAGAAAACGCAAGGGTAAAAGCTGCGAGTGCCTTCTTCGCGAGGGCGCTTTCTCGTTTCGTCGGTAGCGCGTGTTTCGTCTTCGGCGAGGAAGCTTCAAAAGTTACTTTGCTAGCGCGTCCGAAAGCTATAGATACGGCTTGCATCCGTCAAAGAAGCGCGTCGACTTTTAATTACATGTATCGCTATCCGAAGAGCCGTGATTAACCAGAGAGAAACGCAAAAATGGCCCAGTCATGAAACCTTTCGCGGCAAACGATGCATCGGAGGACTGTTTACGTTTCGAACGAAGGACTAGCAAAGTATCGAACCCAGGACTAACCCGATGGAGGAGCAGCGTTCTTTCCTCGGCTTGCCCTCGCGGTGGAAATCGCATACAGATTAAACCGCGCGCGCGGAGAGGAGCTTAGAGGCCGATGACCTTCCTCTTTCGAACTTTTTTCCGCGATACAAGAAAAAGAGTGTCGTCCTCCCCGATTTCGCCCCTCGCCACGGCATCCGTTTCTCGCACGCCTACTTGGGCCGATCTGAAAGCCCATATTCGTAATCGGCAGCGGCAGGAAGAGCAAGCCGCGCATTCAGAAAAATCCGCTTTCAGCGCTAATAGTGCTTTAACGGCCGTCTAAAAGGCCGCTCGAAAGAGGAAGCGCGCAATTAAAAGCGATCCTCTCTGAATACGAAGCTTCTGCGCGCGCGCATCGAAGGGAACGCGCTATCGTTCCAGCTTCTCTGCTTCCGTTTATCTGCGTGCCGAAGGGGAAGCGCGGCGCGCAATTGGCCACCGATAAAGTTATCGCGACCCCGACGGCTCGCTGAAACCTCGACGAAGTCGTTTCGCGACCCTCGCCAAATCGACGCAGATAAGGAAAAAAGAAAATGCGAACTCGCGACGGTAACCGTTTGCGAACGGAGTTACCCGTGGAAATTATTCGTAGCAGACTCGACACTTTTATTTTAAACTAGAAAATCGCAGGATTGTCTCCAATCGCAGCAACCTCCACGTGGTGAGACGACAATAGCGAGCTAATATTTGAAAGTGAATTGTCCTGTACATACAAACAAGCAAAAAAACAAATTTTACCTCTTTATAATATCAGTATAGATTACCAGTAAACACGTGAGCAAAAAGTGCATCGATATCGTTGATAATAAGCGTGCAACCTTCGCGTTTCGAATACGCTTAAAAATATATTATAAGGTGATTCGTACGAACAAAATCGATTTTTTGCCTATGCTTCGGAGAATCAACGGATAAGATACGATAATATCTTAAAGACCCTTAATCGTATCTATCATACTTTTATGTTGTGACAGTCATACGGATCGATATAGCGATGATTGTATACGATAATATTAATTCTCACGATCCAAAGTTCTATTAATGTACGTAAAGTACACATATAGATCCAAGCAATCATCAAAGAGAACGGGGTACCGAGGTTCGTGAGAATTGGATCGGAAAGTGGTAGCGGAATTCTCGACCACGGTGTATAGTCCGTTGTATAAAATTTCCTTTCCGGCGATTGCTGTGTTACATGTCGTCAGCGTTGCGCTGATCGCACACAGCGGAACGAGGCTGACATAATATTTGTCAAGGTAGACCGCGAGGTCGCGCAATGACATCATCGGTGTCGTCATTCGATACACGACAGTTTTGCGACGAAAACGCGCAAATCGCGCGACACACATTCCCTATGACGAGATATGATCGATTGCGATTATTCCCTATCGCAGATTCGATCATCGCTGGTGCGAAAAGGTGCAAGCGAAATCGAGCACGGCTTTAACGATTACCGATCAACGTATTTCTTGTTTATCCTTTAACAGTAACTGACGCAAACTAACTGTTATTAAAGCGAAATTACGCGTCTATTTAAACGAATGCGAAAACCCTGAAATTCGTTTCTAATACAAAGAATCTTTAGAAATTTTGGTTGATCGAGTAACGAGAAACACTTAAGAGACTACCACTGTCCCTTGGTTTTGATCTAGTCTACGGCAAACCTGAGCAGCTCCGAATCCCTCGTAAACTCTATAAGGTGTTGGTCTTCGAAATGAAAACGGATTTCGTTTGCTCACCGAAATACACCGGTTTGTCGCACTTCGGGCAGTTAGGCATGTTCAAGCCTCGCGAACACTTCTTTCGATCGGGAGCACGTCTGTTCGAGCGACGAAGAAGATCCTCTCGGGAGCGTGGTCAAGCGCGTACTGGGCCCCTAGTACGAGTTCTGCAAGGTAACGCGATACTCTCCGGTTGATTGGGCGTGTGTACGCGAGTTAACGCCAGCTCGACGTGTGCGTGCTTGGAACTGGCATCCACCGTGTGTGCGTGGTTCGAGCTGGTGCACCTGAACTAGCGAAGAGGGTCCCTCTGTGCCGTCGTGCCGGTGACTGGTAACGGTTGCAAGAGCAGACTTCTTCGCTCGACGAAATCGTTCCTCGCCGATGGTCGAGGCGAACCGATCCCGTTATCCATTGTTGACAGATTCGTTATCGAATGCGCATACCCAAGTACTCGCGACTGTGCGCCGATAACGGAGCGCTTTGGTGCACTTGGAATGCAATAGTCGCCGCCTTGGACGCATCGTGACGAGTGGAACAGCGTCCGATTTGTATTTGTACTCGAAGACCGTGGAAATCCGTTCTTTCCTAGGAGGAAGGTTTGCGAACAATTTCGACAAGGTTGTTTACGTCGAGACTGTAGTCTCCTTCTTCCGATATCAAAACGGATATCCTTTTCAAGCGAATGTAGGACAGCACGCCTGCGAAAAACGACCCAAGGGGTTTACTTTCGTGGTACCATAAAATAGCACGCTATCGATACTCCGATTACATCATGGTATGGGGCACAACTACAATCTTCCTTGACCACATCCTGCGATTTCTAATTAAATACAACGATCTGTCCCGGTTGATTAGGCCTCAGTCCCAGGCAAATACCTGAAACTGTAGCGAATGTCGGTACTCCGCGTTGAGTTTGCGCGCGAAAATGATCGCGCGCGACGAGAATTACGTGAATCTGATCGTCGCCCTCGAGAACGACGACGTCGATACGGCTACGCGTGTTCTCGCTGGAGACTTCGATCGGAAATTTTTGCAGCCGATCGGTGTTCTTCGAGTGAACGCGGTTCATCTGGCTGCTTGGCACGGGAGAACGGAGTTGCTGAACCTATTGCACGAAAACGGCGCCGACGTGAACACCGCGGACAAAATCGGACGATGCGCCTTGTTCCATGCGGCTCATCGTGGCAACGATGAAACGGTGCACTGGTTGCTGAAACGAGGAGCGTACACGGAAAGCAGAGTCGGAATCGATTCCTGCTCCAAGGAATTCAACGATTCGCCCATGGATCCGTGTTTCATAGGCCGAAACGTTAGTGACTAGACGTAAAACACATATCGATGCTTTCGGAATTCTGATCAATTTGCTTTGTTAGTTACCAATCCCGGAGTGTTGGGGCAGAACTCCCCTGCACCAGGCTGCGAAGAACAATCACGCCGAAGTAATTAGACTTTTGGTAAACGCCAAGGCTGACGCAAATGTTGAAGACGATCGAGGAATTACCCCGTTACTTCTGGCAGGATCCTCCGTGGTTCGAGAGGATGCCAATGAGATGTCCAAGTTTGTAGCCATCGTCGAGACACTCGTGAGAGCGAAGGCGTTGACGAACGTCGTTCATCCTGATACAGGTGCTTAAGTAATATGTGTGCAATGTTCAGAAAATTATTTGTCACGACTTTTATTAAATCTGAGCCTCTTTAAATTAAGGTACCACGCCGCTGCATCACGCAGCAGCCTTGGGGAGTCCGTTGGCAACGAAAATATTGTTGGGTGGAGGTGCGTGGCCTCTCTATCGATGCAAGAGTACAGGAAACACCCCTGTTCACATCGCTGCCACCATTGGAAGCCTGGACACCCTTTTGGTTCTCCTCGATGCGATATCTCCCGAACAGGTCGACGTCAGAGACGAGGTTGGCACTCTGCAACTTCGAAAACACTTCTTCCCATCGATAGTTTGATTTTTTCGCTTCGTTTATGCTTAGATTAATCGGACACCGCTGCACAGAGCTTCTTATCAAGGACACCATCGATGCGTTCAGACACTAATCGATCGAGGAGGAAACCTAGCAGCGAAAACGAAGACTGGTGTCACGGTGATCGATGCAATCTTTGCTCACATACAGAAACCTGTGTTGTTTTTAAAGGACATCTTGGATTCTCGAGTGCGAGTGAACAGCAACGTCGCGGATAAGAACTCGCATGTAAGTGACACTGTTTCTCTACTTGTCTCGATGGTCTTTTGCATCTCTTTGGTTGCATTTTCTTTTTTATGTAGATCACCGTAGACTTCGACGTCCTGGCTCCAGAAGGAGAGCTGCAAATGGGAGTGATAGCATCCCTGATCGCGGCAGCGTCGGGTGTAGAACAATTAACGATACTGCGACATCCGTTGGTGGAAACCTTTCTCTGGTTGAAATGGTCAAAGCTGAGAGTGTTCTTCTTTAGTCTCGTTCTCGTCCACGCTCTGTTCGTTTTATCCTTGTCCGGTTACTCCATAATTCTGCTGCAATACGAGACCGATCACGCATTATTAAGAAGAATTCTGGCTCTCTGTTCGTGCGTCCTCCTGTTTCACAACATGGCCCAAGTGTTGATGGTGCCCAGGTTCGGTCCCGATCGGTTGTCACGAACAACCATTACGTCGTTACTTTGTTTTTTTTCAAAGGGTTTACGTGTACTCGTGATAATTGCAGATATTATTTGAGGCAGTTCGAGACGTGGCTGACGTTCGCATGCGCGACGATATCGCTGCCGGTGTCGGTAAGTAGCGGTTACACGGGAGAGATTGTAATCCAGGAAAGGGGAAAAGTATTAAACGCCCCTCAACAACCCTCGCAATGGGTGTTACATTCCATCAGCGTGGCAATCTTGCTCGGTTGGATACAAATGATGCTGTTAGTTGGCCGTCTTCCGGCGTTCGGATATTACGCCCTCATGTTCTCCACGGTCTTGAAGAATATTCTGAAGGTCAGTCGTAGCTGGAAACAATCGTCCCGATCCTCGATTGTTGGAATAACAAAGACAAAAGATAACAAAGGGTTCCCGAGGGCCTGTTAGAAAAAGTTCTCAATTTTCTTCGTTGCTTAGCGGAATCCCAGTGAAACGCGCGCGCGCGCGCGCGAATGAAAGCCAGGCATATTCGACGCCGTGAAACGTTTTCACGGGACGTCTGAACAGGGACAACGTTAACCCCGATTTAATGCCGAGGGAGGTTTTTAATTCCGTCTCTGTTACGGAAGATCCGCATTTAGTCGGAACGAAAGGTAAGAGAGACGGAGCCTTTCCCTTCGGCGAATATCGTTAGAAATGAAAAGCCGGAGAGGACCAAGGTTCTAAATGTCTCCTCCTCGGTGATACGGCTCTCCCGTCAGGACCCACTTGCCTACCCCTGCGCGCGAGCCCACCACCCTCGCGATTATAACAACGCGCATCCGGGGCTTTTTATTTCCTTTCAGGTTCTCCTAGCGTTCGTCTGCCTGATTGTCGGATTCGCGTTGAGCTTCGCCGTTTTGTTCCACGGGAACGACCAGTTTCGCGATTCCTGGAGGGCCGTCGTGAAGACCGTGGTAATGATGATGGGTGAGTACGAGTACGGGGCCCTGTTCTCGGACGGAAAGAATGGGAGTTCCTTCCTACCATCCACGAGCAGGCTCGTGTTCCTCGCTTTCGTCATGCTCGCTAGTATCGTCCTGATGAACCTGATGATCGGCCTCGCGGTCAACGACATCCAGGGCCTCGAGAAAGAGGTACGATATGCGTATAGAGTCCTTTCTATCTTGAAGAAAAAAAAAAATAACTATCTTAAAATAAAACGGGGGTAACTATTTCAAGAGGAATTCCTAAAATATTAATATCTGCGCAAACGTTCATCCAGGGTCACATTCGTCAGTTGCTGAAGCAGGCCGAGTTCGTTAGCCACTTGGAAATGCTGACATCACACCGAATCTTTCGCAGCAATTGGCTACATCCTCGGTTAAGTTCGCTGCTAGACTCGAGACGCGGCATTCCCACAAAAATTACGTTCGGCTGTCGCGAGCATTATTTCCATGAATCATCGCCTGGCATCCCGACGAAGTTAAAGGAGTCGTTGTTCCTGTTGGCCTCGAGAAATGCGCGCGACACCGAAAGGTGAGCAAATTGCACTACGAACGGAGAAGTTCCGCCGCGGTGCGGTGAACCGCGAGCACTTTACGCTTTAATTAATAATTCCGCCGTAACAACCCGAACTTTCAGCGGTTTAAAGAAAGCTTCCTTTTTTTCCAGCTCGATAACGAGCGGCGTTTACGAAAACAACAACAACGCGGAATTAACGTCGCTGTTGGAAGAAGTGCTGCTACAGTTAAGGACATCTTATTATCCTTGCCAGACGAGACGAAAGTTTTCCAAGCCCTTAAAAAATCAAGCGCGTCGGAGAGAAAGTACCAATGTGTAAAACAGAATCTATGGTCCTCGCATATTTTCTTTAAAACATTAACTACTCGCTACTGTAATCACTTAATACGATGATGCTATAATGTAATTTGAATTGGTATTGATGATAGTGCAATATTAAAAAAAATACTCACGAAATCGTTAAAATCGTATGGATACGTACGTAAGTACATTCGTAGATAGCGCCAATCGTCGATAGCGTGGTTCAGTGACTTACCGACGAAGCGCTGCACAGTTTAAAATGGATATGGTTGCATAGATGTCTCTGCCAGACCGTCTCATTCTTTGGGGTTAGTAACGCGAGCGCTTCGACCAGATTCGAATAGGATCATTGAAAATGGTGTGCAGTTCGTTCAGTATTTGAAATTATACAAGTTCATTCGACTAGTAACCGTCGATATCTCAGATTTATACGCAGACTTGTGAAAATTGTTGACAGTCGACAGAAGCGCACTAACAGAAATCGAGTCATGGTCAGCTTTGAAGTATGTGGACGTCTGAGCTACAATGTAGCGTATCCTTTTACCGTGATATGTTTACTTCGTACACTTAACCTCTGAATAACAATTGTGCGCGAAATATATTCAACGTAAAAGATAGTCACAGGAAAAGAACATAGAATACAATACACCTCGTACACGCTATGCAACTGTTTTTCCTTTCGTGCGAAATTTTGTTCCCGCTGCCTTTGAGTTGATACTTTGTTGCGTCGGCCATTTTGTTGACTATTCGCGAATTGACTTCTAAAAGTATTACCGCGTCCTTCTTCTGTTTCTTTAGGCCGTTTTTCTCTCGACTATAGTTCGTAATTTCCAAGAGTGTATCGACGACGTGATTCATGCGACGCGGTTTAAGATACGGGCAATTTCGTGGAGCCTGCATAATCGCAATTTGTTGATAAGATTTATGTAGCCGGTACGGAATTTACAAGCACGTTAATCCACGAACGAACATGTGAACGCGAACCGTGTTCGTTGTCCGAGGAATAATTAACGCGAACTCTAACAAAGTAGCGATTCTGGCATTTTAGGTTATTAATACGGGTGTAATGTTTGCGTGTAAATAATCACGGACGATCACGTGCATTATATCAACAGGATGTGGTGTTTCAGCGGTTTGCTCAGTTGTCAACCAGTCCATCTTAAATTTATTGCGACGCGTACGCGCGCTCCGATACGAGGTGAATATTTTCTGGTCGCACAATTACACGCACATGGCCTGCTTTGTTCGGAGGAGTCCAGGAACGTTACAGAAGTCACCTTTGTTACCGGCTAATAAGGGTACTCGTGTTTTTGTCCAGATTTTAATTAAATACGGAAATCGGACAGGTCGATGGCGGGCGCATTTATTACCATAAATTATCGTTCACCCGCGGCTATAAAGAAATCATGCGTGCAGCTGCTTTAACGGTTGTAACAGGCTTGGCGAAGTGTGTTTTGCAACCAGGCCCTTTTTTTTATTTTTCTGAAAAACGGTATCAAACGCAGCATCGTTTCGTTAAATTCAACTCGCACGCTGTAGGAAAAAAGGAGGCGTCACCGAGCTGGATAAAAAGGTTGCTTTAACAGGATACATAATTTATAGGGTCGACTTTGAAACGGGCAACGGGACCAGAGAAAAATTCACAAACGAGTTTCCTCGATCCGAAAGATTTCCAAGTAACGGATAGTAAAAGAATTTGCACCTCGCACGGAGGCGTCCACCATCGACGCTATCGAATGGAAACTGGCCAGTGCTCGACTACGATAAATTATGGTTTTCGAGAACGGCGGTTCTACACCGCGCGTAAAGGTAATAAGCTTGATACAACATAGCCTGTGTTTCCTAGATTAATTAGCTACCTAGAAATTCACCTCGTACGTTATTAAGCATCGTATATGTTGGAATCCTAAATGAAACTTTTCTAATTTCAGATGTCCAAAAATTCTTCTCGTCCTTTACTCACGTTCTTTGTTCACGAATTTGTAGTTTGTTCGTAAGTATACACACTGTTGATGAAACTTAGTTGAATCGACAAAGTACTTACAAAGTATCGAGTGTGTTCGGTGGTATTCGATACCGACTCGTAATTTATGGACCGGTATCGATGGTATTGATTCAGTATCATTCTTCTGATTGCTAGCGGCGGTGGCTTCAAGAGCGACGTGGTAGTGGCGGCCGCGGCGGCGGCAGTGGCGCGACGTCGTTGGAGACGGTGCTATGAAATCGGGTGAGCTCGCGAAGGTTCGGGTGGGGTCGGTTCGCCGCCTTGCCTGCCATGACTGGCCGGCCGTGGCCTCGCGGGGGGTGAGGGTGGGGGCGATATGGCGCGTCGGCGAGGGAAGCCGCGGCAGTGAATCCGGCGTCGTGATTGGTCGTCGCGTGGGAGAGCCGCCCGCCCGAGCTCACCGTGGCCGGCAGTCAGTACCGAGCATCCAGGCAGAGCACATCGAGCCATCGGAGTCGGGGTGAGATACGGAAACACGCACCTCGGGACCTTATCACGGGCACGATGGCCGTCCGGCGCGTGCACCGTCAACATCAACAGCAAGAACAACAACGTCGTCACCGTTGTCGTAGTGTCGTACTCGTCGCGCGTGTACTTGGCAGTCATCTCCACACGGAATCACAGCAACAGCATCGTGGGCTCGCCAAAGTATCGTGGCCACCATCGTACGGATACGTGGCGCGCGGACTATGTGCCTGGTGCACGCAATAAGAAACGAAACAGAAAGAGAAAGCACGACGACGCACGGAAATTTGCTACGCGCTAATCCGACACACACGGTCTGCCAACTACACACTGCCTACTACATCACGTTTCACCGTTACCTCCTTCCTCCTTGTCCACTCGTTTTTAAACGCCTATAACGCACCTCCTTCGCTCCTCCCTGTACGCCAGACTCTTCCCACGCGGTCCTCGTATCTTCGGTGAGATTACGTTTCGGTTAATAAGCGAGGAAAACGAGCGTCGGCTGTTAAACCTTGCCCGTTGCCATGCGTCGTTACAATTTCCGTCGTGGAACGTCGTAAAACGAGAAATATATATTTATATATACATATATATATCGTTGTGTTTTGACTGGTGGTGCGTTTTAATTACTCGTCTCGCGTTTATTCGTCGGTGCAACGTTCTTGTGTCCGGTTCGGGGAAGTGTGTAGCCTGACCTCCTCCGTCGACGACGGTGGTGTGGAGGCGAAGGTGACGGTGAACCGTTTCTCTGTGCTTCGTCGTATTACGTATATTGTCTGTTCTGTGCGGCAACGGTGAGACAGAAAGGGCGAGTGTCCGGCGGTGACGTCCTTCGAAAGTAACGCGCGTCGTCTAGTTGAAGTAGCGCGGATCCGACGGATCGCTCGTCGAAGCTGTCGTCGGTGGTTCGTCGCACGACCGCAGTGGTATCGCGGCCGGCACGCGAGGAGGATCGGATTTTGAAATTGCCGCGTTGTTCGGATCGGTTCTGTGGACACACCTCTCGCGTTAAGTCGGTGGACGACGAAGACAGGAAAGACGGTGGCCGTCGCTCGGCCAGCAATAATGCCGCACGTGAGCAGCAACGGCGGCGGCGATGATCTCGGCAGCGAAGACGAGGTCAAGGTCTTCAAGGATGAGGGCGAGGACGAGAAGAGGTCCTCCGAGAACCTCACGGAGGAGAAAAGTTCCCTCATCGACCTCACGGAATCTGAGGTGCGTCAACAACCCCTTGTTACCGTTCTTAATTCTACAAATTGGTCGCATCGCTGAGGACGTCGGCATTAAGTGCGTGCATGTGTGTTGCAGGAAAAGGTCTCTCTCGCCGGTGGAAGTTACGCGACGACGGGCAAGACATCGACGAGATCCGACCTCAGCCCCGTTTTCGGTGAGTCTTCATTTCCTCCATTCTATTCTCGCGAATACGAACAGAATACCACGACTGGTTCTATCTTACCTCCAGAAGTAACTTGTTCCGACTCTCGTAAATCTAGCCTAGTGGTAATCTCTCTCGTACGCCGAGAAATGCATGTCTTGTTCGGGTTATTGCGTCGTATTGTTTGCTAAACTATCGCGAGACTCGGAACGTCTTCGTACACCTTGGCTAATCGTACGGATAAGCAATTCGTGGAACTCGAATTTAGACATTCGATAGAGGCACCGATAACAGAGAGATCGACAAGTCGTGTCGTCGAACGTTAATTCTCCCGTCGGACGTTTATCGCTGGTCGGCTATGAAATCTGATAACGTGTTATGATATTATATGCGTGTCGTGGGGGGGGCAGCTCTGATTCATATAAATTAACGTCATTGTAGGTGGTTATCTTACGATCTTGTAACGTAATCTACTCGTGGCAAATCGCTTTTACGTACTAATGATAATTTAGATGGCACGGGTCAGGCTAAATCGAACGTTTCAACGTTCTGTCCGCGCCACGATCAACAATGCCGTTTCCAGCGGCGATCGAGAACAAGATTACAGCCATTGTATTAAAGTTTGTTACATCAGAGATCGCTGGAAACGACTCGGCAGCGTGTTTTTGATTATTTTGTTGGCGCGGTTCGATTGAAAACAGCGGGCCACGTTCGTGTATCATCTCCTCGCGTTAAATATACACGTACGTTTGTCGCGAATAGTTGAATGTAATTATTCTACCGTGATTAAGTCGAATAAATGAAACGATGCGAACGTTGGGATGAAAGTGCGAGTCCGTTGAATTCTTTCCGTTCGCTGTTTCCGACGGATCGGGCTTGCGTTCGTTTACATTGTTCCACTGTTCGTCGACTTTCGACGAGAGAAGATTTTTTATAGTGCTATCTGAGTTAAAACAGTGTTTCTTACACGTCTTACGTAAGACACGCTGTCTTTGGTTTAAAAGGAGATAGCACGACCTTGCGTCCCATTGAAATGTATGTATACAAAGGGGTTCGATTCAGTTTCTTCTAAGGTTCCTCAAAGAATAACGCCTGTTAAGTTCGTCGAAACAACAACAAATAACGGGAGCCAACGTGTCGTTTAAGAAATACGTTCGATGGCTTCTGTTTACGTTGTGATCGTTACGCCTTTTACTCCTGTATTTTTTTCGAGCGCTTCGAGCAAAATAGTTTCGAGTGCTTCCCCCGGTTGGTCTCGAGAGCTCCCCCCCGATAGTTCCGAGAATTCGTAGTAAACCTCGATGCCTCGTCGTATACGGAGATTCCGATTCGTGATTCTTGTATTCGCGTTATAGTTTAAAGCGCGTTCACGGCATCGGAAGAACGCGTAAGCTTTCTTCAACGTATCCGACACGTTTGACTCTTTGCTGTCGTGTGTAGAGCGAGACTCGACAGAGTTGTACTGCAAAGAGTGAATTTGTTCCCTTCTTCGTAGTTGCGTTTTTTTTTTTTTTTTTTCGAAGGATGATACGACCAAGTAAAAGTACTGGAAGAATCGAAAGTAATCGCGCGACGGGGGAGAGGGGGGAGGGGGGGATCGAATCGACATGGTTAAGAGGGAAAAGGAGTTTTCGGCGAGAAACCGCGGGGAGAGTTAATTTCAATTTACCGAGGGAAATTGACTGAAGTTTGCGGAGCGCTGTTATTCTCGCGACAGGTTTGAAACAAATTGTAACTCGTTAGCCGACGGTATACAATGAAACACCGGATCTCTCGGCACTGGTTGCTCCCTGAATAGACTTTGTCACTGACAAATCGATGTCGCGCCGGCGAACACGCTGTCACCGTGTTGCCAAAACACTTTAACCAGTTACATTTCGTTCCTGCTTGATTTTGACGACTCGTCGACGCCTCGATGCGACAATAGACAGTTCGAAAGGATTCGGGGAAATAGTCACCTTGGATACGTGGAACCGTTTCTTTTTAGTTATTCTTCGAGCGTCTTTTCTCACGATTCGGTTAACGTACGTACTTGGAGGATTGCTTACAGTTCGAAATAACGATCGGAACGATCGTAGGTAGCTTCTACGCGGCTGAAATGAAATTGACCGTCGTATTATCCACAGTTTATCGCCAATTTAAGCTCGGTTACGGACCAACTCGGGGATCGTTTGTTTCTTATGCGCAAATTAAGTGTACTTACGTCGAGGGCAATTATTAGTTTCGGGATAAATATATTTTAATCCGTAATTACTGTGCACTAAATTGTTGGTGTTCGTGCTGCGGGAGGAGGATCCTGAGAATCCACTTAAGAAACGTGGAACAAAAATATGAAAATTCGTTGTAAACACCGTTCATCCCATCAAGGGTTTACGGCAAAGTATTCGAACACTTTGGAATTAAACGTTTAGCACTTAAAGAATTAACGGCAAGGTATTCAAAATATCTTTTCTCCGTTATTAACGCACAATCTATTTCGATAAAAATATATAAAAAATATATAGCGTACGTAGTAGGTATCGTATTTTGTTATTCACAATGAAGATATTAAGACTGATATTTACGCGAGGTGTGTTTTAGGGAAACTATACGTGGTGTTAAACGTCGCTCGTTTGTAGTCGGCTTCATAAAAGCGTAAACGAATCCGTGGAGTGTTAAATTATTGTAATTTGTCTTGTCCGAACGGTAGCGACGCGCGGCAGCCCCGCCACGACACGAAAATCACTTTCTGTGACGTACAATTACGCGCAAATAACGCGTGGGGATCAGAATTCGTTGCACTCGCCAGTCTGGAGAACGTGCAAAATATTACGTCGGGGTCCGTCGTAATCGCTTAAGTGGTTAATTATGGTTCTTCGAGGAAGGCTAGAGGAGACCGAGGTGGGATTAATCTTGGCATCAATTACTTCACTGGACCCTTTTTTTATGTCCACTGAAATTAGTTTTCCGCCAGCAGCCTCGGTTCTGAATGGCGCGCGATGCGTCGGATGTCTTTTTTTTCCCATTCATTAGATTGTACTTGCCGCGTTTCGTATCCACAAAAGGTCTGCGTACTTTTGTACGGTCGTTAGACCGTGCCTTTTATTTCCACCAAGATCGGTCGCTGAACCCCTCGCGTTTTTCGATCGACGAGGTTTTCGGTGAATGTTGTTTTTCGTCTTGTTGCATCGATCATTCCTACAGCGTTGCATCCTTGCTTCCGTTTCACGAGGCCACTCGGGGCTCCAAATTTCGGCTATAATTTAGCAGCATTGCGTGCGTCGAACCGAAGGTGCACTAACGATGCATCGGCGTAACAGCAGAAAATGCAAAGGAGATCGGTGGCTCCCGGTTTCGTCGTGATGCGTGTGTGCCTCTGGTTCCCGAGTAATTTCGAAATACACGAACGCGTTTAAAATTGGTCTTTCCGTGGCCAGGAAATTATTTTTGCACACAAATAAAAACAACGCGACGCGACGTGTGTGCGTGTCAATTTTCGAGCCTCGGAATTTTAATGCGTGCAGTCGAATATCTCTACTCGCGACAACCTGGACGTGCATTTCTCGCGGATTGATTTCTTGGAAAATTTGCATAATTCGTTTAGCTGCGGGTACAAAGCCGATAATCCCCTCTTAACGATATCGAAGCTTATACATATCTCGTTAACAATCTTGATTAAGTCTTCGTTGACGTACAGTCCGATGGAACAGAAGTTGCTACTTCGGCGACACTTTTTCGCGACGTTGATCGGATGGTTTTTCGCAGCGTACGGAGACCATGGTCAGATTTTTTTAAATTCGCGTGACCAGACGACGCGTGCCGTCGACTTGACAACCGTGTTCGCTGGTTATCTCGGATTGCGATTAATCAGATTCACCAGATTTGCTTGCTTCGTTGCGTTCGCGATACACTGGTCTAACTAGCGCTAATTATCAGACATGCCTCGGTGGATCTAACAATGACCAAGTATATTCACGAGGGGCGTTATCGCACGTTGTTAAAAGTAACGCTTGTCGTTGCGCGTCCGATGCGGATGTTCGATTGTTCGTATTTACGAATAGATGTTTATCAATTTTTAAATAATAAATTGACGGAAAAAGGAGATAATCGAGTTCGAATGAAAGTCGCGACACGTTCCGACTGGCTTAGCTCGCTCTGCGATGAGATTTTTCGTGGCTCGAGCTCCCGAAATCCTTTGGTAGCAGTCGCGTTTGCAAAAGCGCTGGCTCACCGCGACGATGTACACTTTGTCGCTACTTGGAAACTACCTCCGCCTCCGGATTGCACCTCGCCGCGTGAATATCTGGATGCAGCTCGGCCGTGGTTGGAACAGAGAGGAAGAGAGGCGCGAGAAAAGCAGGAGAGCGAGAAGGAGCGAAGGACCGAGGGGAGAGAACCATAAACGATGTGTCTCGTTGTGCGAAGTAATTGACGAGTTCGCGTGTAGGCGGTTGGGCGCCTAGATCGCCTCGAGCGTACCGTAGGCTTATCCTCAGAGACGAAAAACGAAACGAAACGAAACGAAACGAGCAGCCCTGATACCGGCCGTGGAGCCACGAGGAGAGGCGGAAAGGGCAAGGAGGTGGGTTCGCGCGGGTCGACACAGGAGGAGAGGAAACGAGACGAGAGAGACGAACGGAAAGACTCTGGATAACGAAGGAGAGAGAGGACCAGAAATTGACAGAAAAGTCGGTTAGTCAGGAAGAGTACCAGACAGAGATAGAAATTGAGAGTGGGTTATCCGGTGAACCCGACAAGGAGAGGAGAATATGTGCGCGATGGAGAATTAGCGAGATACCGAGAGCGAGCGAGTCGGAAGAAGGGAGCGAGAGGAAAGGGACGCTGCTGCATCACCCTGAACTTGCCCGAATACCTTCCCTCGGAACCTTACGGTGTGCATCCGCTCACCAATGCACATGGCACCCAAGCGGGTTCTCTCTCCTACCCTCCTCTTCACGCCTGTCTCGTCGTCCTCTCTCGTTCCTTCTCGTTCTCGTTCCTTCGGCTCGAATCTCGCTCGCCCTTTCAGTCTG